GGAAGGAAGGAAGGAAGGAAGGAAGGAAGGAAGGAAGGAAGGAAGGAAGGAAGGAAGGAAGGAAGGAAGGAAGGACAAATGGCAGCACTGGATTCCTGTGCTTGTGTTTACTGCCACTGCTGCAGTCTTAGACACTTTAATACCACACACAAATAAGACATTTTCATATTGATATTGAATATTCACAGAACAAATAAAATGATCCAAAAGAACAGAGGAAATCAAGCATTGTGATACTACAGATTTTCCTCTTTTATTTGAGTAAAGTTAACCTGTCCTTAAACCTTATGAAAGATGAGAGAATCCATATAGTTTATAAATATGATTCATTGGAATAATTGTAAACTTTCAAAATTAAGCAAAGTACATCTCCAGGTATAACAAAAACATGAGTAATTCTGTGCTTTATAAACTGGAAAGACAAGTGGACTCTAAATAACAATGCAACTATTCTAGAGACCCTAACATCAATACATAAATCAGTCAGATATGCTTAGGGAAAGAAAGGCCCAGAGTGAAAACTTTAAGGGCAGCTTTTATTCTAATAAATGGTTAAGTTTTCTTATTGCTTGACTGCATTGATTCAGATCACATGGTATAATTCTTAGACTCTTAAGAGCACTAGAAACTCTAAATCTAAAGGAAAAATCTTTTCCTGAGGAAATAGGAAGTGCTTCCCGGATTTATCCGTGTGTACACAGGTGTCTGTCTGCCTATGACATGCTGAATGACATCTGATTCACGGAGCAGAAGTGCTGCTAGCTGCCCCTAACTTGCTCTTTGTCCTCTGTGCTTTCTCAAGATGGAGCAGAGATTGGCACAGGCGCAGAACTTAACTCAGGGCTGGGAGGAGATCAGACACTTGAAGGCCGAGCTGTGGATTTTCCTCCAGGATGCAGATCAGCAGCTGCAGAACATGAAGAGGAGGCCCTCAGAGCTGGAGCTGAACATCGCACAGAACATGCTTTCCCAGGTCAAGGTGCGGATTGCTATGGCGGAGATGGTAGAAAAGATGAAAAGCACTCAGCGCTTTCACAGTGATTTGCCCGTCAACCCTTAGACATCAGCAGAGCTAGCTGCAGAAGGAGAGCGCCTGAGCAGCCCAGCTTTGGTGCCAGGGAAAGACAGGTCCCAAGGCAAACATTCATTGACTCGGGTGTCGTGGCAAGGGGCGGGGGTGGGGGTCTCAAGCACTCTGGAGGCTGAGGCAGGAATATCTATTGAGCCAAAGATAAAAGAAGAAAGGAAAGGAAGGGGAAAAAAGAGGGAGGGAGGGTGAGAGAGGAAAGGAGGCAGAAAAAGAGGAGGAAAGAAGGAGGAAGATGGGGTGGAAAGGAGGGAGGGAAGGAGAGACATGAAAGAGGAGAAGAGGGAAAGGAAAAGGAGAATAAGCAAAAGGAATGGAGGAGATGGAAAGGGCACAGGGGAATGGGAAAAGAAGGAAAGGACAGATCATAGGAGGGGACAAAGGAAATGTGTATCCTTGGGGTTCCCCAGGCCATGTTTATCAGAGGATAACAAGCCGTGTTGGTCCTATGCAAAGCGGCTGGTATTGAGCACACATGGCTGGAAGTTGGCTGCTAGATGAACACAGAAGACCACATTGTTAAAGGGCTAGGACACAAGCCTATGAGTTACTTATATACTTAGCTAATATGTAATTAACTAGAATGTAATAGAAATCTGGTTTATATCATGTATAATTTAACTGTAATTGAAAATTATTTTTATAAGTACATTAATGAGATTGGATTCAATTTTCAACAAACAAAAGATTTTTTTCCTGTGGCAACCATGTATACTGTATATATATGTATATATATACATCTACGTATATATATATATATATGTACACATATATATACATGAATATATACATATACATATATACATACATATGTATATATTCAGTATTCTAATAGAATACATATATACATATACACACATATACACATACACATATATATTCTATTAGAATACTGTTTGAAAATGCAGAAGAAGTAACAGATAACATGAACTTGATTACTTTTACAAAAACATGAGCTCTTCAAAAATCTAGAAAGATTAAGCAGGAAAGTTACTTTTTATCATCCTTTATATCAGGGTTACCCTGAACATAGGAATTTATGTTCACAAAATGATGTGGTGAATTTTTGGTTTTCTCTTCAGTCTCTGCCTATTACGAAATGTAAAATGTTTAGAAGTCTGTGTCTGTGTTTCACTGGGTGTGGTTGGGAAGAGTTCACAACATGTAAGCTATCCGATGCCTTCAGGATTTCGTGAAGCAGCTGCAGAGCAAGCAGGCGTGTGTGGGCACCATCCTAGAGAAGGTGAATAAGTTAACCAGGAAGCAGGAATCTCCTGAGCACAAGGAAATCAACCACCTGAGTGAGCAGTGGCAAGACCTGTGTCTGCAGGCTGACACATTGTGCTCGCAACGCGAAGAGGATCTGCAGAGAACCAGAGACTACCATGACCGCAGGAACCTTGTGGAAGCCTTCTTAGAAAAATTTACTACAGAGTGGGACAACTTGGCCAGGTAGCAGAAAATCTCCAGTGGCTTATCATCATGCTAACCCAGGAAGTTCTTCCTTCCTGTAAAACTTTACAATGTCTTATTTTAAAACTCATTGTCTGTTATCACTATTGGCCAAACATTACTATGAGGCAAATGGAAATAGACTCAGGGACTTCCTAGTTTAATATAAATTAGCAGCAGAAGAAAGAGTGATAACTGAAGAACAGCTGTGTTTTTCTATGTGATTCCAAAGACCACCTCTCTGTGACCTGCAGGGAGACTCTGGAAATATTCCTGCTGTTGTATTAGCCAGAGATTTCTGTTGAGTCTGTGAAACAATACCTATTTGGTTCCATTCTAGAAATTAGCACACAATTCAAACCCTGGTGTTTACATCCTATTTTCAGATTTTATAGTGGTTGAATTCTCCTGAGATAATTTTTCTTTGAAAAGTAAAGATTATTCCCTCTCGATGATACATTCACTTGAAACCTTCCTATGCTTTTGAGCAACAGAATTAAAGAAATCTGCAGTTCCACTGGGATGTATTAGCTTGTTGCGATGAAAACTGCCAACATTATCTAGATGTAGTTAAACCATGGAGAGGATTTTGGGTTTGTTTTGGTGTACTGTTTTCTGATTTGCTTACTTTTCTGTGATACTGATCACTTACTGCTCTTTGAATTTAATCCAATTGCTGCCAACCAAACCAAACAAACATACTTCCGACTAACAATAGGCACCTTAAACCTAATGTGTTCAAAACAGAACTCCTCCTTCTGTTTCCCAACCCTGCTTCTCACATTTTAGAAGTGATCATTTGCATATGTAAAACAGATGGCCGAAATCTAACTTTTTCTATGAACTTGCTAACTGAAAGGGTAATGATTTTTTTTATATCACATTCTTATTTTTAAAGATTTCCAATACTTTAGTGCACCATCAAACAGGAATATCTAAAAAAATTTAATGCTGAGTAGCATTAAACCATCAACTTTACATTATAGCTTAGACCCCTCAAGGCTTTGTTGTTTATTGGCTCTCATTCCCAATAGAAAGCACTAGGTCATGAATAACTTTTGGCCTTTGCTATTTGCAGCAATGCATAGATCAATGTTTCTTGTTATTGTGCAGATTGCACGTCACTGAGCTAAAGGAAGAATCAGAGGAAGCTAAAAGTTTTAAGTTCAGTGTATTTGAACGAGAGTAATAGCCAACAAAAAGGACAGTGGGGGAGAATCTAGGTGACTCGATTTGCTCCAGCTTCTAATACAGAAGTATATGAGAGTTATGCTGTATTCTAACTATAGCATCTGTATTGATAAGCCTTGAGTTGAGCTACTCACAGTGACCCAAAGCAAGGAAAATGGTGAGAAAATGGAACGAGCTACATTGCTGTTTCCTCTCTTACTCTTTTTGCAGATCCGATGCAGAGAGTACAGCCATCCATTTGGAAGCTTTACAAAAGCTGGCCTTGGCCTTACAGGAGAAAAAACATGCCATGGAAGATCTGAAAGATCAAAAGCAGAAACTGATAGAGCATCTGAACTTAGATGATAAAGAATTAGTCAAAGAACAGACCAGTCATTTTGAGCAGCGCTGGTTTCAGCTAGAGGACCTGGTCAAAAGGAAAATCCAGGCATCCATCACCAACTTAGAGGAGTTAAATGTGGTGCAGTCCAGGTTTCAGGAGCTGATGGAGTGGGCTGAAGAGCAGCAGCCCAGCCTGGCCGAGGCCTTGAAGCAGAGTCCCCCTCCCGACATGGCTCAGAACCTCCTTGTGGATCACCTGGCCATCTGCAGTGAGCTGGAGGCCAAACAGATGCTCCTGAAAGCCCTCACGAAGGATGCTGACAGGGTGATGGCTGATCTGGGCCTCAGCGAGCGCAGGGTGATCCAGAAGGCGCTCTCCGACGCTCAGAGGCACGTGGACTGCCTCAGCGACTTGGTGGGCCAGCGAAGAAAGTACCTGAACAAAGCCTTGTCTGAGAAAACCCAGTTCCTCATGGCAGTGTTCCAAGCCACCAGCCAAATTCAGCAACACGAGCGGAAGATCATGTTCCGTGAACACATCGCCCTGCTCCCGGATGACGTGAGCAAGCAGGTTAAAACGTGTAAGAGTGCACAAGCCAGCCTCAAGACCTACCAAAGCGAAGTCACCGGACTCTGGGCTCAGGGCCGTGAATTAATGAAAGCACTCACAGAGCAGGAGAAGGGCGAGGTGTTGGGCAAACTTCAGGAACTGCAGAGTGTCTATGACTCTGTGTTGCAAAAATGCAACCATCGGTTGCAAGAGCTAGAGAAGAATTTAGTTTCTAGAAAGCATTTTAAGGAAGATTTCGATAAAGCGTGTCACTGGCTCAAACACGCAGATATCGTGACATTTCCCGAAATCAACCTCATGAACGAGAGCACCGAGCTTCATACACAACTGGACAAATACCAGCACATTCTCGAACAGTCTCCGGAATATGAGAATCTCCTCCTGACCCTGCAGAGAAATGGGCAGGCCATGTTACCAACCCTGAATGACGTTGATCACTCCTACCTCAATGAAAAGCTAACTGCTTTGCCCCAACAATTTAACGTCATTGTGGCCTTGGCGAAAGACAAGTTTTATAAAGTCCAGGAAACAATTCTGGCTCGCAAAGAATACGCTTCCTTGATCGAGCTGACCACGCAGTCTCTGAGCGAGCTGGAAGATCAGTTTGGGAAGATGAGGAAGGTTCCTGCAGACCTGGTCGTTGAAGAGAGCCTGGCTCTTCAGGACAGCTGCAGAGTTCTTCTGGATGAGGTGGTGGGCCTGGGAGGAGCAGTGGATGAACTGAACCAGAAGAAAGAGAGTTTCCGCAACACAGGGCAGCCCTGGCAGCCAGATGACATGCTCTGCCTCGCCACCTCCTATCACAGATTGAAGCGGCAGGTGGAGCAAAGGGCCAGCTTGCTGGAAGACACCACAAGTGTGTACGAAGAGCACACCAAGATGCGCCAGCAGCTGGCAAGACAGCTAGAGGCCGTGAAGACAGAGCAGTCTAAAGTGAACGAGGAAACGCTGCCCGCCGAAGAAAAGCTCAAAATCTATCATTCTCTCGCAGGAAGCCTGCAGGATTCCGCCATCCTGCTCAAACGACTGGCTGTGCATCTGGAAGACGTTTCACCCCATTTGGATCCCTCAGCGTACGAGAAAGCCAAGCAGCAGGTGCACACTTGGCAAGAGGAGCTAAAGCACATGACCTCTGGCCTTGGGGAGACCGTAGCAGAGTGTGAGAGCCGGATGGTGCAGAGCAGAGATTTCCAGACAGAGATGAGCCACTCCCTGGACTGGCTGCGGAGGGTGAAGGCTGAGCTCAGTGGGCCGGTGTGCCTGGATCTCAGCCTCCGGGACATCCAGGAGGAGATCAGGAAGATCCAAATCCAGCAGGAAGAGGTGCAGTCCAGCCTGAGAATCATGAGCGCCCTGAGCCACAGGGAGAAGGAGAAGTTCACCAAAGCCAAGGAGCTGATTTCTGCGGACCTGGAGCACACGCTGGCGGAGCTCTCAGAGCTGGATGGGGACGTGCGGGAGGCCTTGCGCGCCCGGCAGGTGGGTAGTGATTGCGCCCCTTCTCTATTTTCATTCTGCTGATTCCTGAGTGTAGAGAGGAGAAGCCTGGTTTGGGCTGATGAACATCATTTTTTAAGTATTTATTTCTTCTTGTAAAATTTATCTTCAAGTAGTTGTTCAAAGGGGTTTCAATTCAAGGTGTCAATTAAGGAGTACAATGCATCTTGATCAATGTCACCCTTTCAGTCATTCTGTGTGTGTGCGTGTGTGTATGTGTGTGTGTGTGTGTGTGTGTGTGTGTGTGTGTGTGTGTGTGACTGTCTGTCTGTGTCTGTCTGTACATGTGCCTTACTAGCACTTGAATTCAAAGCCTGGGCTCTGTCCCTTAGCTTTGTTGCCCAAGGCTGGAATTCTGCCACTTAAACCACAGCTCTACTTTCAGCTTTTTGGTAATTAATTGTAGATAAGAGACTCACAGACTTTCCTACCTGGTCTGGCTTCAAACTGAGATTCTCAGAACTCAGCCTCCTAAGTAGCTACGGTTACAGATGTAGGCCACTGGTGCCCGACTGATCAAACCATCTTCAACAGATAGTCAGTAGACATTCTCATGTTTCCTATACAAAGTATTCATTCATGTGTTGTCATATGTCTACTTTGCTTGTGAGTGTAACATGACCTTAATAGTGTAATTCAGAACAGATCCCAGATTCAGAAACATCCCACAGAGGGAATGTTTTCTGAAGCTCTAAAAGTTATCTAGGCCTTTTTCTTTATTTTTCCCTAAGCACTGCGATCCACCAACTACTGGCATAGCAGTTACCTCACGGTGGGTATTATAAATGAACTAGAGATGACGGCACATCTCTGGAAAGCTAGGGAGGCTGTGTAAAGGTTTGTGTGCAAGTATATGAGGAACTTGAGTGTAGGTGTCTGTGAGCATCCTGGAATTAATCCCCCACCGAGACTGAGGAATGTCTGTCTTTGTGTATTGTGAAAACTGATTAGTGATGAGCTAACCATGTCCTTTTGAAACCCAGCGTTTGTAAGGTGGCTGCAGGATGAGTCTCTGTAGAGTGTAGGCCCCTCAGCCTTTTCCTTTTTGGGGGTTTCCCATCCATTCCCCCCTCTGTCAGGGCAGGTACTTCTCCCCCTTTCTTTTGCTTCCCTACAGCACCGAGGAAGCCATAGTAGAATATTCATTAATGACTAGACTTGGAGATGACAATTGGGAATGGAACATGTGTAGGACTTCTCAAATCCCCTCCTGTCTGAGGCTTGCTGTGGACCTTGGCTGTATTCTGCAGAAGGACTACTTCCTTTGATCTCTGGGTCTTTTTTCTACACCTGCCCTCGCTCCTTCTGATGCTAGATTTTGACCAGTCATTTAGATCAATAACAACATTCCTCAGGACACTATGTATAGTAGCTGGAGTAATATAGTAGCTGGCTTGGAGTAATACCTGTGCTTTTTAAATCCCAGATTCATGATCTTGGGCAAAGTGCATCCTTTGTTTCAATCAACAGTAATAACAGTAATAGCATTTCTGCTTCTCAGTCCAAGGTCTGGCAGGAGGTAACTCCTGATAAAACATAGCTATTTCTTTTTATTTTCAATAAGGACAAACCTTTAACTAGTAAAAGTGATATCTGAATGTTTGGGTGAAATAAACTTTACTATATAAAATTCTAGCCTCTTAAACTAAAGGCTGTTAAACTTGTATCCATTTGCTATAGAAATAAAAAGAAATAAGCTACAGGGGAAGGTAAGATTTGATCTTTTCATTTTTGAAAAACATGTCATACAAGCTCACTTCTTTTGATTTGGTGATACTTTTTTTTTTTAATTTCCTGTGCTGGTACTGGGCTGGGACTCAGAGCCTTGCATTTGCAGTTGGCTTTCCCATTCAAGGCTGGTGCTCTGCTCACAGCTCCACTTTGCAACTTTTTTTTTTAGTGGTTATTGGAGATAAGAGTCTCATAGACTTTCCTGGCTGGGCTGACTTTGAATTGTGATCCTCAGATCTCAGCCTGCTGATTAGCTAGGATTACAAGCATGAGCCACAGTGCCTGGGCTGATAGAGTGATACATTTGAATTAAAAATCTTAAATCTGTTAGCTGTCTCTACTCCGTGATCTTGTTTGATTCATGTTCATCTTGGCCTGAATGGGCATTTGTGGCCTCCACAGATTCTTGGCTCTGTCCCCCCATTCTTCATTCAGTTAATCCTCTGCTTTCTCCACCTCTTCCCTGCTCTTTGGCTGATACAGCAGAGCCTACCTGTGCACTGGCTCATATCTGTGGGAGTGATTTCTTTCCTACTCTGTTTGAAGGGGCCCAACCTCCAGATATGCCCTTCCTAGTCTCTATTCAAGACTTATGTGACCCTTTCCTTTCCAGAAATTACTATTTGATCGAATGGATTCTGTGTTGGAGAGGTGGTGCTCCTATACTTTTAGCCAACTTATTGTATTTTACTAAACTTTCAGCATGCCACACATTGCCAAGTATTAATTTTTTTATTTTTATTTTTGTCAGCCATGGGTCTTGAACTCTGGGCCTAGGCACTGAACATAGCCCTTCAGCTCAAGGCTAGCACTCTACCACTTGAGCCACAGCTCCATATCTGGTTTTCTGGTGGTTTATTGGAGATAAGAGTCTCAGGGACTCTCCTGGCCAAGCTGGCTTTGAACTGTGATCCTCAGATCTCAGCCTCCTGAGTAGCTAGGATGACAGGTGTGAGCTACCAGGGACCAGCATTTTTTTTTCTTTAGAGAAAGCTTCAGAAATTGTCAAGATACCAACATAAAGTAGTCTCTATCTTTGTTTATTTTTGATTCACTTTCACGGCAATGATAAAATTATGATAAGGATAGCAGAAGAAAAAAATAAGGGTTAAAATTGCACATGACATGAATTCCACCAGTTGATCAGTTCATTTGTACACAGACAGGTGCCTCTGTAGGACTGGGGATTGGAAAGATAAAACTGGTTCCTGCAGATATACTGGGAGTTGATCGTGTGTGCCATTCCTCTCTCTCAGGCCACTTTGACTGAAATATACAGCCAGTGTCAAAGGTATTACCAGGTCCATCAAGCAGCGAACGACTGGCTGGAGGATGCCCAAGAAATGCTGCAGCTGGCCAGCAGTGGTCTCGATGTGGAGAGCGCAGAGGAAAATCTCAAAAGCCACATGGAGTTTTTCAGTACGGAGGATGAATTGCACAGTAAACTGGAGGAACTCCAAGGCCTGGTAGCCAAACTAGACTCGCTCATCAAGTCCACGGGCAAAGAAGAACTAGCCCAAAAAATGGCTTCCCTGGAGGAGCGGAGCCAAAGAATCCTCCAGGACTCCCGGGCCCAGGCAGCCCTCTTACAGCGGTACGTACCAGGGTGTTGTGCTTTATATGTCAGCGAAAGGAATTTGCCTGTCAAAAGCAGTAATGTACAAAGGATCTATGTTATGCAGGAAATGCATTTTTCTCTCTTAATGATCACCAGACCTATTGATGACAGAGCTCTTTGTGACAAATCTGTCATTTCCTATCACATTGATTTCTATTGAAATCTCTCAAAGATGCACAGTCCAAAGTCAAGATTATCAGCAAGCAAGGGAAGAGGTTATTGACTTGATGAATGATGCAGAAAAGAAACTGTCTGAGTTTTCTTTGTTGAAGACATCTTCTAGACATGAAGCAGAAGAAAAACTGTCCGAACACAAGGTCAGTTTGGTCATCTGTTCCTTGAACGTATCCTTTAATTTATCATTGTCCCAGGTCTTCATGACATGATGGAAGGTTCCACAAACAGATCATTAAATCTTCATTTCCACCTGGGTTTCTTAAACTACTAGAAATAGATATTTACCCCCATGTCACAAAAGTTTTAAGTGAGTGAAATGATGCCACCTTTTTGGGTTTCCCTTGGAAATGTAGAACTAAGACTGAAAGGAGACATTCAGAGCACTTTGCTTGTGAAAAGATAGGATATTTAAGAAATGTCAATAATTTTTCTGTTGATAAGTTAGCTGAATTCAAAGAAAACTTAAAAAACAATCAGTGAGCCTCACTCACCAGGCACAGATTATCCTGAAATATTAACTTTAATTTACTTATATATTTGCTGATGTGTGTGTGTGTGTGTGTGTGTGTGTGTGCGCATGCACGTGTGTGTGTGTGTGTGTGCATGTGCCGGTCCTGGGGCTTAGACTCAGGGCCTGGACCCGGTTGCTGAGCTTCTTTTGCTCAAGGCTAGGCTGCTCTATCACTTGAACCACAACTCCATTTTGGCTAGTTGAGAAGTTTATTGGAGACAAGGGTCTCACAGACTGTCCTGCCCAGGCTGGCTTCAAACTGCAATTCTCCGATCTCAGCCTCCTAAGTAGCTAGAATCATAAGTGTGAGCCACTGGCACTCTGCTGTTTGCTGATTTAAAAAAAAATAGGAAAAGTATGCCAGGCACCAAAGTCTCATGCATGTAATCCTAGCTGCTCAGAGACTTGAGGTCTGAGAATCCAGGTTTGAGGCCATGCCAATTAACTGACTGGAGGTGGAGGTATAGATCAAGTGGTAGAACACCAGCCGTGATCAGGAAAAAGGCTGAGCACTGCTGACTCTCACCTGTAATTGCAGCGATATGCCTGTAATCTCAGGAGGCTGAGATCTGAGGACAGCAGTTTGAAGCCAGCCTCAGTTAAGACTCTTCTCTCCAATGAACTATTTTTTTAAAAATCCAGAAGTAGAGCTCTGTCTTAAGTGGTATAGCACTTAACAAAAAAGTTAAGAAACAGTACCAAGGACCAGAACCAACAAAGAAAAAAGAAGAAAGATCTTCTCAAGTAGCAAACTTTGGTTTAAAATACACAAATAAATAATATTTACCTCACCTCTTAACAGAAAACAAAACTCCATTCTAACTCAGTTTAAAAATAAAGAGAAAGCTTGGAAATGGTAACCCCTTTGTACAACACCTTAAGCATAACAATGAAATTATATGTTTAAAAGATACAGTACGAGTTACTAGATGAAAATGAATTTATGTACGATCATGTCCATACAACTGAAAACGTCTTGACTATCACCTCTCTTCTCCACCCTCCCCTCAGGCTTTAGTGTCAGTAGTTGCCTCTTTCCATGAGAAAATTGTGGCTCTAGAGGAAAAAGCTTCAGAGCTGGAGAAAACTGGGAATGAAGCGAGCAAAGCCATGCTGAACAGGTCCATGACAACTGTCTGGCAGCGTTGGACGCGACTCCGTGCGGTGGCCCAGGACCAGGAGAAGATTCTGGAAGACACAGTTGATGAGTGGCGAGGCTTGCACGACAAGGTAGCCTACAGGATTTGATACACAAGTTGGGTGTGCTTTTAGTTTTTTTCTCCTCACTGATTACAAGGTCTTTGGATAAACAGTATTTTGTTCCTTTTGGAAATTGGACTTGCCCAAAGTGTTTTTTTTGTTTGTTGTTTCTTTGTTTTTTTAAACCTTCCTTAACCCCCGGTCCTTCCCCCGTTAGTCTTGGGGCTTGAACGCAGGGTCTGGGATTGATGACCCTGAGCTCTTATGCTCAAGGCTAGAGCTCTACCATTGGAGCCACAGTTCCACTTCCAACCTTTGGATGGTTAATTGGAGATAAGAATCTCACAGACTTTCGTCTTAGAATCATAATCTTCAGATCTCAGACTTTGGAGTAGCTAGGGTTACAGGCCTGAGCCACTGCTGCCTGGCTTTCCTCTTTTTTTCAATGTCATGTAAATGAAATTTTGAAGAAAATACAATGTGCAATTTGGTCCCAAGTCAGGGTCAAGTTATTTCAATTAGAAAACCAAACAATGACTTTTTAAAAGATGGACAAGATATTTGGGACCCCATTTGCTTTCTTACAGTTTCTGGAAATAATACAAATTACCTTTTCTCTGTCAAGAAACTCATTGAAAATGTATCAGATTTCCAAAATCCTGAATTTAATCTCTTCTATAGGGTCTAGTGTTTCAGCTATGAATTCTTTATGACTCCAAGGCATGTGGTCATGCTATCTTAAATATTAGAAAGTTTTTGGTTTGGTTTACAGAAATTACATGTTTCATATAGTCTCTGATGGTTTTGATAAGATTTTGAGATAAATATTTATATCCAGGATGAAACCAGGTGTGATGGTTTGCTCCTATAATCCCAGCACTCTGGAGATGGAGAGGGTGCGGATTGTGACTTTGAGGCTTGCTTGAGCTACATGGCAAGATTTGATCTTAAAAAAAAAAAAAAACTAAGCCAACAAGCTGGATGTTAGTATCTTAAGTCTGTAATCCTAGCTACTCAGGAGGCTGAGATCTGAGGAGGGTGATTCTAAGCTGGCCTGGGCAGAAATATCTGTCAGATTCTTCTTCAATGAATCATCAGAAGAAAGAAGTGGAGATATGGATCAAGTGGTAGAGCATCAGCCTTGAGCAAATAAATAAATAAATGTTAAGCAAGCCTGTGAAATCCTGAGTTCAAACCCCAGCACTGGCACACAAAGATAAAACCCACATGCAAAGTTGGAACTTCCTTTCCAGTTTGTTTCCTGGGATGTAGAATGTACATTGACCATCTCCAGCGTGCCAGCGTGCTTTGGTACACAAGGGTCAGTCTGAAAGTGCTCTCTATTTTTCAGTTCATTTTTGAGCTTCATAGCGTGTCTATTTCTGATTAGGTCCAAAAAGCCACTGAAATGATTCATCAGCTGCAGGAGAAGCTCCCAGGGGGCTCAGCGGAGAAGGCCTCCAAAGCAGAGCTCCTGGCCCTTCTGGAACAGCACGACACTTGTCTGCTGGAGCTGGAGCAGCAGCAGCTGGCTTTGGGCCCCCTGCAGCAGCAAGCACTGAGCATGCTCCAAGATGGAGCCAGTGTGGGCCCTGGAGAAGAGTCGTCTGTCCTGCAGGAAATCATCGCAGTGCAAGATGGTTGCCTCAGGTAGCTTTCCAGCTGCCTTATTCTCTGTCTGGACACTGACAGTGGCGGGGGGGGGCTCTGGAGGTCTCCATCATTCCCCCTTCAAAATGTGGGGATCACCACGCCCCCTCTTCCAGCATGACCCACATACATAGCTGGTAGAATTTAGAAATACCCTGGTGAGGGAGCCAAACTCAGTGTCTACGTTGTTGTGGTGGGCAGTGGAGCAGCGGGGTTGAATGACTTCAGGAGCCTTTCAGCATAGCACTCAAAATATGCTCAGGACATGCAAAGAAGAAGCAGGCAGGGCCAGCTTCTGAGGCTGAAGACTGGGTAGGCTTGAGCTGGACATAGAGTGTGAATCCCACAGAAGAAAGCTTGGAAGGACTCATGTGATCTTCAGGGGACTCTGAGTAACAGGGGTAGAAGCTGGTATCATTCAGGAGAATTGGACGAACTTGAAACCTAAACTACTGAGAAGTCTTTAAATAAAGCTCGGTGACTCGTTGGTAGCTGTAAGCCACTGACTAGTAGTGAATTTCGGAGAAAGTTTATCTTGATGGTGTATAACCCACCTGATTTACTTGCAGGATCAAAGATAAAAGGGGTCATTAGATAATTTAGTTCCTGAATTAACTGATGCTACCTCATTTGAATCCTAAATTTGCCTCTTAGTTATTGATGAAGGCAGGGTATTTTGCCACCACTAAATGAAGCCTTTTTTTAAAAATCAGAATTACAATAATTTGAATCCAAAGTTGAGGTTTGGACATTACTAGCATTGATAATAGTAAAATGTCTCTAGTTTGGTTGTTTTCTTTAAAGACTATCTTCTAACAATCCACAAAGATCTTAATTATACATATTTTAAATGCTACTGACAGTACCATGTGGGCAGATTTCCAAAGAGGAAGGATATAATCCATCACCTCCAGATGCTTTAGATAGAAATTAGTTGGAATTTAGTGACACAGGAAAAAAATCAACTCTCAGTTTCCCAAGGATGAAGTTTTTACACCAGATGATGAATATTCTGTTGTTATACTTGAGCTGAATCTTAGTTTTACTGAACATTGACAGTTTAAGATCAATGTCTTTTCTAGATATGGTCTCTTTACAAGCTACTAGATTTCCTTCTCATGCATGTTTTTAGTAAGATGATGTCATGTGGGGGTATTCCTTCCTCTTCAAATCCATTTCTGCTTTTCCCCTCTCCTTTTGAAGCATGCAGGAGAAAGTGAAGAATGATGGAAAACTAGTAAAGCAAGAGTTGCAAGAGAGAGAAATGGTGGAGACTCAAATTAATTCTGTAAAATCCTGGGTTCAGGAAACAAAGGAATACTTAGAGAATCCAACAATAGAAGTGGATGCACAACTTGAAGAAATGCAGGTATGAAACTCTCCTTGTTCTCTACGGCCATACAAAAGTAGGCCCTCTTAGCTGAAATGCCAGCTGCTCAGGAGGCTGAGATCTAAGATCAAAAAGAATGGCAGAGGTCTGAGGAGTCAGGAAAGTTGATGAGATTCTCATCTCCAATTAACCAGCAAAAGCTGGAAATGGAGCTCAAGTGGTAGAACCCCAGCCTTGAGTGTAAAAGCTAAGAGACAGTTCCTAGGCCCTGAGTTCAAGATATGATCACAGCACACATGCATGCACACTTGTGTGAGCATACACTCGCAGAGTACTTGCTCCTTTTTTTTCAATTACATACTCTTGTTTATATTTAATGAAGTAGTAAATTATGTTTTGGGACATGCATCAGAGACATTTAGCATTAGTTCATGGTTTTTTTTTCTTTTATCTCGTGCAATGGGATATGCTTATATTCAGTTTCTTTTTCTTGTCAGATATTTTGCTAATGCCACCTTTAATCATATATTGAAGAACAAGAGCTAACATAAATATAATGCTTCAGGCTACCAGAAATTTATTTTAATCTTGTCTTCAGAGCCTCCTGAGGGAAGCCACGAATCACCGTGAGAACATCGAGAAGATGGCTGAAGACCAGAAGAATAAGTACCTGGGTCGTCACACCATTCTGCCCTCGGAAATCTCCCTTCAGCTAGCTGAAGTAGCATTGGAACTGAAGATTCACGAGCAGGTAAACTTAGGACCAAAAAGAGCAGCTGTCTGTTCTTCTATACGGTTCATCTTTTTATATGAGAGCACTTGACTTCCACACACAACTTCTTAGAGTCAAATAACTAATCACTGTGAAACAATCAATTTTGAATTAGCAAGAAACACATAGATCATCATAGATACAGAGAATAATGCCATTCAAATATGATATTTATCTGCTTCCCTTTTTATTCTACTAACGTAATGGATTCAAAAGCATAAGAAGACATATTTCCTATATTCAGCTACTTATTGAGTACCCCGAGTGTGCTACACACTCTTTTGTTGTTTTAGTTAAGCAGTTCAGCCAAAGAGAAGGTAAGTATTTGAGGTATCTGAATAAAATAGCAATCAATAGAAAAACAAGCTAGGTGCCAATGGCTCACACCTGTAATCCTAGCTACTCGGGAGGCTGAGATCTGAGGATCATGGTTCAAAGCCAGCCCAGTCAGGAAAGTCCCCATGAGACTCTTTTTTTTTTGGGTCTGGTCATGGGGCCTGAACTCTGGGCCTGGGCGCTGTCCCTCAGCTCTTCAGCTCAAGGCTAGCGCTCTACCACTTGAGCCACAGCGCCACTTCTGGCTTTTTTCATTTTGCTTTCTGTGGTGCTGAGGAATCGAACCCAGGGCCTCATGCATGCAAGGCAAGCGCTCTACCACTGAGCCATCTTACCAGCCTCCCATGAGACTTTTATCTCCAACAAACTACTCAAAATAAAAAGGAGGCCAGAAGTAGGGCTGTGGCTCAAGTGGTAGAGTGCTAGCCTTGAGCTCAAAGAGGCTCAGGGACAGCACCTAGGCCCTGAGTTCAAACCCTAGGACTAGGAACCTTCGGTCAAATTAACAAAGGAAAGAAGTACAGAAAACACCCATAAACACCATATTTAAAGTGGTTTCTAAAGAAGAGTGGCAGAGTCCTTTCTGTTGCTAAGACCAGAAAAAAGACATCAATTATAAGGAAGACACACCTTCATGTAGTAAAAATAACTTTTCAATCATCTTCATGAGTTTTTAGAACTGTCTTGGTAGCTTAATATTAAAGTCATTAAACTCAGATCCCTTCTAAATGGGACAAAGAGAACATGTAATAGTAAAACTGATCTGCTGCGTGGAGTAGAATTATAAAGGATTAAATAATCCAAGCTATGCCGGACTTTGGAATCTCCAATGTACCAAAAAAGGCAGAACATTGTAAAAAAAAAAATCTCATCAAAACCCGATTTTACTGAATCAGTACTCTCATCTAAACGTAGCTTCTGCTTTCTGTTTTTTTATGTGAGAGCTAGTGCTGGGCTTTGAACTCAGCCTTCACTCCCACTTTCCACTTGTGGTTGGAATTCTGTTACTTGAACCACACACACTTCCACTTCTATTTCTTTACTGGCTAATTGGACACAAGAGTCTCTTAGGTTTATCTGAGGTCTTCAAATCATAATATACTTAAATCTCAGTTCTCTGGGTAGCTGGGATTACAGGAGTGAGTCACTGTCTTAGTCAGATCTGTTGCTTGTCTTAGATGTTGAGAAATCTATTGGGACAGATGACTTGGTTAGTTTGGACTCTTAAAAACTTTAAATCTTAGTCTGGTTACATCTCAACTATAGTATTATTCAAATACATTCCAGCCACTTTAGTACAACTTAATATAGGCCCCAAAGTACTTTTGTAGTGGTGGGTTTGGTATACTAAGGCTTTTCATATAATGTCTTTACCTCAGTCTTCTTGACCATCTTCTTCCTAGCATTTTATCCTAGCAAATATATGAAAGTTTGCTAACAAACTACACCAACTCTTATCAGAAATCTCTCAGTGCTGAGGATCAAACCCAGAACCTTGCATAGGCTATGCTAGAGTGCTGTTACCCTCAGCCATCCCAATTTTGCTTCTTTCCACCTTCCTACATATTGGATATGCTTTCAATTAAGAATGTATTTGGAAAGTTAAAAAAAAGTCACCCGGAGACACTTATCGAGAGGTGATTTGGAGAGCCAGAGATATGGCTCAAGCAGTAAGAGAGCCTGCCTAGATGCTTAGGAAATGCAAGGTCCTGGGTTCAAACCTCAGTACAGAAAAAGGAAATCAATCCCTATGCCTGCAGTAATCAAGGGCTTACTATTTAGTGAAGTAAAAGGCTTATTTCTTCTTATTTATCCTCTAAAGGAGTTTGTGTGCCCAGAGTCACAAGATTAGTGCAGAGGAGCTAGGATGTGGCTGTGTACAAATACTCACTCCATGAATCATGGGCTATGTGTTGATTGTTGATTTCTTACTAAAAACTACAGCAGCAGAAGGGATGTCGTAAAGCTAGTGGGAAGCAAGGCAGCCCAGAAAGCCAGGGGAACTTGTCACTAATCAACTTGCCAAAACACCACTCATGTCTGAGCCTCTCCCTCCACCTGCAGTGAGTGTCATCGGAGAATTTCAGTACCTATTATCCTATTTTACCCATGATTGGTTTTGCTGTTCTCATCAATTATTTAGATCCAAGACAAAGTAAAAGAAATTGAGCAGAGCAAGGCCATGAGCCAGGAATTCAGCAGGCAGATTCAGAAGGTAGCCAAAGACCTCACGACGATTCTGACAAAGCTGAAAACCAAAACTGATGACTTGGCTAAAGCGAAAGCTGATCAAAAGGTAAAGAGGAGGGGAAGGGACTGGGGGGGGGGGAGGGTGGCAAATGAATAAACTGTTTTACTGAGGTTACGTTTATTTGGGGATTCAAAAGGGAGACAATGTCCCTGGCAAACTTCACGAATGTGCCCTCAGAAAAGTAGGCATATTGCCAACGCAAGAGCGAAAATCTGCTAGAATAATGTATCATTCTAACCAACTACCATTAGTGAGTCCAAAAGAGAAGAAAATGAAAAGGTAAAATGACTTTGGAGTACAAGTTGGTAAATTCCAAAGTAAATCTTCTTTTTGGTTTTTTTTTTTTGGGGGGGTTTTTTGGTGTTTAAATCTGACTTTGCATTCTGGTGAGAAGTGACTTTCACCCATCTGGGTGGGGCAGAAGAAAACGTGAGGCCTTTTTCTCACTCAGGAAGTAAGCACCGGGAATCATAGGAGATCCTGCAATGCCTCCCTAGCCCAAGAAACAAAAAGAGATGGGATCCTAGCAAATGATCATTTTAAATGCGTGGCTTTTTACCAAAGTTATTGCAAGTAGAATCCTTCTGACCTTAGAAAATCTGTAGAAACTTGTTTTTCTATAGTCTAAAAGTCTTTTATTCTCCCCATTGTGCAGGTCCTGGGAGAGGAATTAGATGGCTGCAATGCAAAGTTGATGGAATTAGATAGAGCGGTACAGAAGTTCTCAGAGCAACATGGCCAACTAGGCAAGCCACTGGCCAAGAAGATAGGAAAACTGACTGAACTTCACCAGCAAACCATTAGGCAGGTGGAGAATCGTCTTGCCAAGCTCAGTCAGGTACGTGTGCCAGACTCGCCATCAAAGTGCCCTAAGGAATAAACTTTTAATCCTCTAATAACAAAAGTCATTTAAATGATGTTTATTTCCTGCCTGCTTCTGTTCTTAAGATTTATAGGTCAGCCTCTATGTGTTTCCTTTCAAACCCTGTCACTAGATTTTGAGGGTGAATATTTTATAAACTAGAGAAGCATTTTGTAAAACAAAAAAATACTAACAATTCTTATTAAATCACATGAAAAATTCAAGCACTTGAATGTAGGCTATATTTATTGGTTTGCATTTTTTCAGTAGGTTCAGGTAGCACATCATTTTTGTTTGTATTAATTTTTTAGTAGTACTGAGGTTTGAGGTTACTAAGCGGGTGCTATAGCCCCCCCCCATTATGATTCTTTCTTATAAACTGGACTTTTGCACCTCAGTGAAGTGTTTTTCTAGAATGAGGGTCAAGTTAAAACTAGGACTAGGTAACAAAGAAGTGAGAGTCCTGCACCGTGGTGGAAGGTGGAAGGAAAGGAGGGCGCTCAATAGAGGAGTAAGATTCCAGCCGGGGCCTTTACAGATGACAAATTTTATCTGAATCTAAGTGACTTTGTTTTCCTCAGGCGGCATCACATCTGGAAGAGTACAATGAAATGCTGGGATTCATTTTGAAGTGGACTGACAAAGCGAAAGTCTTGGTTCACGGGAAGATAGTATGGAATTCCTCCAGCCAGCTTCGGGAACAGTGCATTTTGCATCAGGTAACTGTAAATAAAAGCACTTTCAAAGAGTAATGAAGAAGAGCTTGATTTAACTGGCCAGACTGACAACATTCAGAGGGCTGTGATATAACACTAAAGGGGAACCAGATTAAAAAGAATAGCCAGTGTTTTGCTTTAACAGAAGGTAGCCACCCATGCGATTTCATGAGATGGTCTATAAATAAATATCCGCCACTTCCCCCAGACCTCCCTTCCCTTAAGACTTAAAATGCTTGGCCGTACAGGACTCGGTTTGGCAGCTTGGTGGAGAGGGAAATTCTTGAGGGAAATTCTTCCCCTCAAAGAGATCTAGTAAAGCATAGAAAGATGACAGGCTCCATACTCGGACCCAGGGAGAAAGGAAGCTCAGCTAGATAGGACTGTGCGATTAAGGGTAAAATACGTTTCCTGTCTTAATTCTATGTTGTTATCTGTGAGGTGGGGATAAATACTATTCATCTGTTAGACCTAGGAAGATGGAATTGTTCCATGAATGTGCGGATCCTATACCTGGCCCCTAGCTACCTACCTGTCTAGCACATTTAGGTCCCCTGTAGGAGTCTGCCACCTTCTCCTTTCAGTCTTCCTGCTAGACCCACTCACGTGGCCTTCCTCAGGAGGTGGGGGGTTGGGAAGGAACAGCTAGGAGCTGACGATGAGTCTACATCACATGATGGCTGAATTACTTCATTTCCTCTGAAGTCTTGTGCCAAAAGTACTTTTGGCCCTGTTACCCAGGAAATTATTTCATCCTTTTGTAAGTTGGACTTGATTTAGTTGGCTAGATGCAGATATATAATAAGCTAATTGTCTTGTAATAAAATACAGACCAACTTTTATTTTTATATGTGTATCCTCATGTATATGAGATTTTTTTTCTCTCACCCATAACTTGTATATGCTTGTTCCTTTAAATTAACCCCTCTTCCTTTCCAGTTAATTGAGTTGTACATAAAAGCCTCCTGCTTTTACAATCAACTCGTAAGCATTCCACCTCATTAGAAATCCTAACATGCAAATTGAAGTAAAAAAGAGAGAGAGAGAGAGAGAATTTTAATTGTCAAGTAAATAGTATTTGGGATTTTTTAAAGCCTTACTTAAATAATTAATAGCTTTCGGCTTAGCACTAGTATCTTATGATTGTACTCCTAATTACTCAAGAGGCTGAATTCTGAGGATTTGGGCTTCAAACTAGCCCAGACAGAGAAGTCTATGATACTTATGTCCAATTAACCAGCAAAAAGCTGGAAGTGTAACTGTGTCTCAAGCGGTAGAGCATCAGCCTTGAATGAAAAAGCTAAGGGATGGTGCCCAGGTCCTGAGTTCAAGCCTCAGTACCAACACAAGAAGGAAGGAAGGAAGGAAGGAAGGAAGGAAGGAAGGAAGGGAGGAAGGAAGGAAGGA